GGATTCAGTTAGCTAGAATTTTGTTGAGAGTTTTTGCATCTATATTCATAAGGGATATTGGTCTGTAGTTTTCCTTTTTTGTTGCATCCTTTCCTGGTTTTGGTATCAGGGTTATGTTGGCTTCATAAAATGTGTTGGGGAGGAATGCATGCTTCTCAATGTTGTGGAATAATTTCTGCAGGATAGGCACCAGTTCTTTCTAGGTGTGGTAAAATTCGGGTGTGAAACATCTGGTCCGGGACTTTTCTTTTTTGGAATGTTTTTTATTGCTGCTTCAATTTCAGTCCTTGATATTGGTCTGTTCAGGAATTTTATTTCTTCCTGGTTGAGCCTAGGGAGGCTGTGTGTTTCTAAAAATTTGTCCATTTCTTCCACATTTTCTACTTTGTGTGCATAAAAGTTTTTGTAATATTCATAAATTATATCTTGAATCTCCACAGCATTAGTTGTAACTTCTCCTTTTTTGTTCCTGATGGAGCTTATCAGAGATTTTTATTTTCTGTTTTTTATTAGTTTAGCCAAAGGCATGTCAATTTTGTTTATTTTTTCAAAAAACCAATATTTTGTTTTATTAATCTTCCATATAGTTTCCCTGTTGTCAATTTCATTTAGTTCTGATTTGATCTTATTAATTTCCCTTCTTCTTCTGGGTTTGGAGTTGGTCTGTTCTTCTTTTTCCAGTTCTTTGAGTTGATTCAATAGGTTGTCTGTTTGTGCTCTTTTTGACTTTTGGATATAGGCATGTACGGAAATAAACTTTCCTCTCAGGACTGCTTTAGCTGTGTCCCACAGATTTTGATAACTGTGTAACCTTTCTCATTTAGTTCAAAGAATCTTTTGATTTCCATCTTTACTTCATCATTTATGAAGGAATCGTTCAGCAGAAGGTTGTTTAATTTCCACGACTTTGTGTAGAGATGAGAGTTTCTGTTGGGGTTGATTTCTGTTTCTATTCCACTGTGATCTGAGAAGATGCATGGTATGATTTCTATTTTTTAAAAATATTTTGAGACTTGCTTTGTGTCCTAGAATATGGTCAATCTTAGAGAATGTCCCATGAGCTGATGAGAAGAACATATATTCAGTGGTTTTGGGTAGAATGTCCTGTAAATGTCAGTCAGGCCCATTTGTTCTGGAATTCTGTTTAAGTCCATTATTTCTTTGTTAATTTTCTGTTTGGAGGATCTGTCCTGTGCTGTCAGTGGGGTGTCGAGGTCTCCGACTATTATGATGTTGCCATTTATCCATTTGTTTAGATCAAGCAGAGTTTGCTTTATGAATCTGGGTGCACCTAAGTTGGGTGCATACATATTTAGAATTGTTATGTCTTCTTGTTGAACTGTACCCTTCACCATTATATAGTGACCCTCTTTGTCTTTCATTACTTTTGTTGATTTAAAAACCAAGTTGTCTGAGATCAAAACTGCCACACCAGCCTTCTTTTGGCTTCCATTTGCTTGAAATATTGTTTTCCACCCCTTTACTTTGAGTCTAAATGCATCCTTGCAGGTTAGATGCGTTTCTTGGAGACAGCAGATGCTTGGCTTGTTTTTTTTTATCCATTCGGCCAGTCTATATCTCTTTAGAGGGGAGTTCAGACCATTCACATTTATTGAGAGAACCGATAAGTGGGGTGAATTACTGTTCATTCTGTTGGGTTGCATTTTGTTGCTTTGTTTTCTATCTTGAGCCATTGTGGAATCTAGCCTTTGATCTTTAACTTTTGAGTGGTTTCACATTCGAGAGTGTTTATTATGCTGATTACTTCTTGGAGAGCTGGTCTTGTCTTGGTGAATTCCCTCAGTCTTTGCTTATCTGAGAATGTCTTTATTTCTCCTTCATATATGAAACTTAGTTTTGCAGGGTACAAGATTTTAGGCTGGGTGTTATTCTGTTTCAGAAGAGTGAGAATGGGGCCCCAGTCTCTTCTTGCTTGCAGGGTTTCCGTTGAGAAATCTGGAGTTATTCTGATGGGCTTTCCTTTGTATGTTACTTGTTTCTTTCACCTTATAGCTGGTAGAAGGGCCTCTTTAGTGGATATTCTGGTCAGTCTGATGACTGCATAACGTGGTGTCTTTCTATTTGCATTGAATCTCGCTGGTGTCCGTTGAGATTCTTGTACCTGTATATCTAGATTTTTAGCAAGGCCTGGGAAATTCTCCTCCATTAATTCTTCAAATAGCTTATCCAGCCCTTGCGTGTTTTCTTCTTCACCTTCCGGAATCCCTAGCACCTCAGGTTGGTTTTTTCACATAATCCCACATTTCTTGTAGGCTTATTTCTTTTCTCTTTAT